CTAATGTCGGCGGCGGTACTGTAACATTCGAGCCTTATAACTCGAGAAGTACTAAATGAAAAAATATTTTATTATAGTGTTTTGGAAAGCTCTCGAGATAAGCTACAAGAATATTCAACGAAAAATAGGGCTTCCCATTTAAAAAAATTACCTTGACCTTCAAATAACCTTGAAAATGAAGGACAAGGTCACATTTCAATCAGTCCCTTCATATCCAACAATTTTTGTTTTAAACATTTTTTTATTTAATCGCGATATTTCGAGTTATTTGGCTGTCTAAGTTAAAATGGGTCACCCTGTATAAATCCAAATCAGAGTTAACTTTACGTGAAAAATAAAAAAAGGTTGAAAAATAATTATGGCCGTAGCACAGTCTTTTGCATAACGCATAACGCATAGTGCATAAGCGAATCAACTAATCAGAAGCTTTCCTTTCCTCTCATTTCATGGAAAAGAAGAATTTCGATTGGTTGATTTCCTTATGCACTATGCATTATGCGTTATGCAAGAGTCTGTGCTGCGGCCATTATACTTTGTTATCGGCTTCTCACGTTGACTCGCAACAATGGGTACATCCAGAAGCACAACCACTCACTAAGCGCTCAATGAGCTTTTTTATCTTATTGGCATATTCCGTTAGATCTAAAAATATAGACCAAACAGATACAAGAGCTCAATGAGCGCTCAGTGAGCGGTCGTGCTTCTGGATGTACCCAATTTCTTATAGGTTTCACGGCACGCTTTATGCCGAAGTTATAACATCGATGTTATGAAACTGGTCAATTATAGCTGTTCCTCTGAAGAATGGAATGACTGTGATTGGCCAGTTTCATAACATCGATGTTATAACTTCTGCATAAAGTGTGCCGTGTAAACGTAGTAAAATATTTGCTTTGTATACAATCCAGACAGCATAATATTTATAAAATATTTTCAAAATATCCGAAATATTCATAAAATTTATTTTAAATTTTGGGATTTTATGTCTTTTTTAGTTGTTAATTGAAATATAATTTCTTAGAATAGCGTGTATCCTCGAGGAGGAAGTCGGTAATTATATGCGGAAGGCCCGGCGATAGTTCGGAAAGGATTAAGTATAAGAATATCGAACGGCACAATTATGATAGACTCTTTGTTTAATTTAACTCAGACTATTCGTTTACACGTCCGATCTCTCCGAAGTTTCACAGCAGAGTTCCTTGTTCTCTCGCGCCGGAGTCTCGCATGACCCCCTGACTTATTTTTCTCGAATCTTCTAGAAGTCTTTTATTTCTATTGTTCTACATGTTTTTTGTTTATTCTCTTGTCTTTCCGACGCTGTTATTGTTTCTGATTTTAACGTTATTTTTAAATGATTTATAATCTAACTGTTTTCCTGAATTTTCGCTATCTGATCCAATTTAATATATCACGGCTAATCGCTTACTCGACAGAGGCATTTAAATGCCTCAGCTGATTCGCTTCGCCTGTGCGTTTGTGTGCACAGTCAATATTGTTCTCGGCGTGCCTTACTTTCAATGCTACGCCTTTAAATTACTTGTCGTGGCGATATTTGACGCCACAAAATATTTTGAAAATATTTTTGTAGATTACGCAGATCATAAACATTTATTATAAATATTATGAAATATCTCTTGTAAATGTTATAGTAAATGCTATGAAAATACTTAATGAAACATTATAATCCAGATAAAAAACATTTATTAGAAATATTTGTATTTATATTTAAATATTACATAAAATATTTATACTTTAATAATATTTCGAATAAAGCTTTATATAAAATATGTATAAAACATTTATATAACATTTCAAAAAATGATTAGTAATAAATATTTATCATAAATATTCTGTGCTGTCTAGGAAATTTTATACTTTGGTAAAACAATCTTTGCTTGGACTAACAATAAGAATTGTATGTACAAACAATATTGGGCACAGTCAATGCAATGCTACAAATACTTTGAAGCGTCTTTTAATTGGTTGGTTCGTAAAATTCTTTCTTCTAATTGGTCTATCAAACGCTTCAAAGCATTTGTAGCGAGACTTTGACTACAGCCAATGTAGTGTTCTTGGAATTATATTAGATATCTAATATGAAAGATTAAGTAGTTAGAAAATTTGTATGGATGTGTGTGTGTGATATTGATATAGTATTGTGTAGTAATATATATGTCAATAACACCGTAAATCGTATGTATGTAAGTACTATGTATGTAAATCCTACTGAATCGGTAATACAGACGGCTTTAGGATCTTTTTAAAGTAATGCTTGGTTTATGCTTCGGTCTTAACCCTAATACGAGGGCCACTATTTATATTTTGAGCCTAATAATAAAAATAATAATAAAAAAACAATAATTTGTCATTTATTGTTTTTCAAAATATTCTCCTTTATGATCTATACACTTTTGCATGCGTTCGAACCACTTGTCAAAGCATTTTTTCCATTCCGCTTGAGACACCCCCAAAATATGGTCTTTGAACGCATCAACGGCTTCTTCTGCCGACGAAAATTGTTGTCCACGCAATTTATTCTTGACGTTCGGGAACAAAAAGAAGTCATTTGTTGCCAAATAAGGACTGTACGGTGGATGACCCATTAATTCGATTTTTTGAGTGTTCAAATAGCCGGTTGTTAGACGAGATGTGTGACAGCTGGCATCGTCTTGATGAAGAATGATCCGGCGGCGCTTGTTTGTTTTCCTTATTTCACTGAAGACTTCCGGCAAACAAATGGTTGTGTACCATTCAGAATTGACCGTTTTACGTTCCTTTAAAGGCACTGTTTATTATAAAGACGCACCTAAAATGCAATTGGATAATTTTCTTTATGCATATGTTTATGCAGCTACACCAGTTTGTCGCTACGCAAGTTTGCCTTTATAGCACCCAGGGTAAAGGCCGCAGCACACACTCTTGCATAACGCATAATGCATAGTGCATAAGCGAATCAACTAATCAGAATCTTTCCTTTCCTCTTATTCCATGGAAAAGGAGAATTTTGATTGGTTGATTCCTTTATGTATTACGCATTATGCGTTATGCAAGAGTGTGTTCTGCGGCCTTTAAAAGCCCAGACACAAGCTTTTGCATAACGCATAACGCATAGTGCATAAGAGAATCAACCAATCAAAATTCTTCTTTTTCATGGAATGGGAGGAAAGGAAAGATTCTGATTAGTTGATTCGTTTATGCACTATGCATTATGCTTAGGGCCTAGACACAAGCTTTTGCATAACGCATAATGCATAGTGCATAAGCGAATCAACTTATCAGAAGCTTTCCTTTCCTCTCATTCCATGGAAAAGAAGAATTTCGATTGGTTGATTCCATTATGCACTATGTATTATGCGTTATGCAAAAGCTTGTGTCTGGGCTCTTAATGCAAAAGTCTGTGTCGCGGCCTTAAGGGCCATTCCACACAAACTTGCATAGCCGCATAAACATATGCATAAAGAAAATCATCCAATCGTAGTTACCCTTGGCTTTATGACAGAAATATGATTAGATAATTTTCTTTATGCATATGGTTATGTGGCTCTGCAAGTTTGTGTGGAATGGCCCTAAAGGCCGCGACACAGACTTTTGCGTAATGCATAAGGCATAGTGCATAAGCGAATCAACCAATCAGAGTCCCTTATTTCCATCTCCACTTCTCATTCTGTAGATCTTGCATTGCGCATAAAGCATAATGCGGGGTCTACAATAGAAGTCGTAGCGGTCGTAGGATCTTAAGTCGTAGAAAATTGACCAA